GTCTCGGGGTCGCAAGGGGTCGGGGTTTCGACTCGGTGACCTCTGCGACGGTGGCAGTCTCGGGGGACTTGCGCCTGGAAGAAACGCGGCGAGGGGTCTCGACCATGCCGTCAAAGAGCTCCTTCTTCCTAGTGAATGAGTCAGCTAAATTGATAAACAAGTTGTTGCGCAGGGCATTGACCCAATGGGAGGTTGGGAGAGGGCAGCCATCATTCTAACTATTACTGCGGGCAGGAAACAAGTCTGGATACGGGGGCTTTGCGACAGCCCAGGCGTGCGTGCGTGCGTGGAGCAAGAGCTTCAAGGATCACAGGGAGAAAAAATGAGGAAAGAAGACTGTTTGACTAACCTAGGAGTCTGGCGCAAGGAGTATCGCCCCGAAGACATATTGACTGTTCTTTTTATACAGATGATGCACAGACAGACAATAGAAAACCTCAACGTGGGGTCATGCACCTCTCGTGTAATTGAAAACCGAGTCCGTGTAAGGGCCCTGGATCTGGCAGCAGCGCGATCCGGCGGTGGGGGTTCGAATATGGGATTGGTTTAGCAGATTCCAAAGAGAAGGTTCATCCAAGGCATGGGAGACAAGGTGAGGTAGAAGGGGGATGGGTGTGGTCTGGCGCAGGGAATCCAAGTACGACCAGACGAAGGCGTCAGGGCGGGCGTGCGGTGGGAAAGGACGGGAAGACAAGTTGACTCGAGACGGCGTCAAGTCAAAATGTTCGCCGGGTGGCCACGGGGTTCGATTGGACCCTCTCTCGAGGGATGGCTTGTCTCTCTCTCTCTCTCTCTCTCTCTCTCTGGCTGCCAGCCAAAATTTTGTTGACATTTGTGTTGTGTTTGCCCCCTTTCTGCCGGTAGTCAAGGGTGTCGAGGGTCACCAACGACGACTGGAAATTGCGTGTACAAGGGCGACGTAGGGTTTCCGCTGCAAAATCGAGGTACCCGTCTCCAACCTTCTCGGGAGCGTCCCTCGGCTGCAGGGAAGATGAAGTCCCGCATATGCACCTTTCGTCTGGACAAGCTGCCAATAAGAAGCTTGATTTTGCTTGGATCGGGATCGCACTTTTCCAGGCGGTGTGGACACCCCCTCCCAATGAGTGCTCAGCGAATGGAAGCTCGCTGCAGAAAGTGCACCCCGCTGAACCTGAGCCGGCGCGAGCAACGGAAATGATAGGTCCATGCGGCGGCGCGGATGGCCATACCTAGTAGTACTTCGTAGGCTTTAGGTGCCACGGTGCCCTACTACGTAAGCTCCGAAACTATGGGATCGGAGCTAGGTAGGTACCTAACCTAACCTCTCGCTGCTAGACGAAAGCTGCATGACATGCATTGCTCGCCGGTATCTTGACCAGGATTTCCGACGCCGTGTGTTTGTAGTGTAGAACGACCGGTTCCTCGAACCGCCCCGGATTTCCGCCATGTAAATGGAGCACGATGTCGACAGGGTTCGCCTTGACTTCTTTGCCTTGAAATTGCTAGGTATCCAAACATGGCGTCACATGTGCGAGGCATTCTGATACGCAGCCTTGGGAGTGGCTGACTGCTTTGGTTCAGCTCCCACTGAGGCTGGACTCGGAAGTGATGAGTCATTACCTTGCTTGGTACGCATTGCGCTGATGATCCCTAAGAGAGAATTTTTGTGTATCATGATACCCTCTGTAGTTGTACCTCAGTATACATTTGGTAAGTTATAAGATTGCTACGATTGGAAGTTGACAGCAGCTTGCACCCATTCTCAAGACATATCATTTTGCGGGTCGGTCAGTTGCCTGCGTCTTGTCTATAACCATGAACCAGAAGGGCGGGTGGTGGTAGAAATAAAACAAGGTTCAGTTACCTCGGCGCCAACCGTGTGAGTTTGACAGTGCATGCACTCGCTCCAGTGATAGACTCCTGAAGCGCCAGTCTGCAGCCATGCCGCTCGAGGAGCAACCACGAGTCGACGACTAAAGTAGGATCATCCGCGTGACCAGAGACATATGATAAAGAGCAGGCAGCGTCTCTGGCCCCTGGACCTCGGTGATGCTACCTCAGTGTCGGACTGTAGTGGAAACACTTGTAAGCAACGCGGCAATTGGGCGACTGCGACTAGGTCAATATTATTCGCACAGCAATAAGGATGAATTGATGAAGAGTCGAAGAGGGGACCTATTGACAGCTCCAGGTCACTTCACAGGGCACCACCAAAGGTCTCATGTCTTAGCCAACCACTGTAGCTTTTAATTAGCTATCCTCATTGCTGTGCAAATACCATTGACCTAGCAGGGGTAGCAGCCTGGACCTTTTGACTACGTTTCCTACACTCACGTGCGCGGACGAGCATTTGGCCTCCCATAGCAGGCACGTCGCCCTCTCAGTGTTGTGATGCTCACGGCGGTCGTGGTGGTAGGCTCTCCGGTACGTACCGGTACGTACTGTCCCGGCAATATTGGCCGTATCCTCTGCGGTACGTACCTTGAGCTGATTGCGCGCACCGCACAGACCATGTACCAAAGATATATAATCCCTTCGCCCGCCCGCGGTTCTTAGGATTTTCTTCTCTTTTCTCCTTAGCTCTCTTTGCCTTTTGGCTTAGATCAAGTGTAGTATCTGTTCTTTTCAGTTTAATTTCTGAAAGATGCCTACTGGCATCAACATTGATTATTCCTATTTTTGATCACCGGAGACGGCCTCTGCGGCTTGCTGTATGTTGTCTCCACCGTGTCCCTGGTATCACACTGCCTCCAGGTGACGCAAACCCACGATCTTCATTGCAATTGTCTGGCTTGCTCAGGCGTGTGAAGAAGGTTATTATGTGTCTCGCGCTTTGAATGTTCATGTCCCCCCCCCCTTATGTGCCCACGGTCCCAATGTAGCGTGGGCGGCTTTTTGATCCTTCGATGTCGGCTCTTCCTATCATACCGAAGCAGAATTCGGTAAGCGTTGGGAATGCTACTGCCGTGATGGTGATCCATGCCGACCAATGCCCTGAATTTGCCAAATGTGACCGCCTCCTTTGCCCGAGCGCTGGACCAACAGATATATCACGACGGTGGCGCAAAGGGCAAAGATTCCGTCCATTTCGCGTGGTTGTGAGTGTTCTGTTCAAACTGTTATTAAAAACGAGTGGCCGTCCGTCGTAAGTAAAACTCTGATTTTCGGTGACTGCTTCTCCAGTGACGTCGCCCTAATTCGCGGGGCTCGTTTCGACCACTAGATTTGAACCTCACCACCAAGTCTCGTTCGGCCATCTGTGGAAGGACGTGCCAGAAATATCCAAAACACCTGCTATATTCTCGGGATTATTTTTTCGTCGTTTGGTTTCGTTCACGAAGACATCATCTCTCATCAGCCACGCACTCACACTGCCATCGCTCGGTCGCATCATCACTAGCCATGGACAACGACACCAGCATGGGCGAGGTCCCCGCATCCCGTCTGCTGGATCCCCAGATCTTCGAGCACCTCAAGAACAAGATCGATGAGGATCAGCAGGTCCGCGATCAGATGAGCCAGACGGTCCAGAGGCTCGATAGGACCATCTCCTACGTCCAGGGCCTACTGTCCCGCATTCACGCAACCCCGCGTGAGCAGTGTGAGTCCTCGCCGGGCCAGCCCGGCCTCGTCCCTCTTTCCGGCGTCATCCTCAAAGCTGGGTTTCGAAAGGATCTGACAGTATCGTGTGCCCGCAGATGGTCCCCTGCTGTCAGACGTGCAGGCGGGCATCCAGAAGGAGGTCGAGGTCATTGGGGAACTCCAGGAAATCGCCTCAAAGCACCCCTACTACAAGTAGGCATCCATCGCATGCCCTCGCGGCAGCATCCACCCTGTGACTCACATTCTCCAGGTACAACCAGAAGTGGAACCGTCAAGTGCAGAATGCCATCTTCACCGTTCTCCTTTGCGGCTGGCTGGGTGGCTTCACCTCTGACGGCAAGCCTGGCCCCATCGCCCGACTTCTGACCCTCGAGGAGGTCGGCGAGATCTTCAAGGGCACGTAACCCCCAGCTCATCCCCCCCAGGCAGCCAAGGCGACCGCCGCCCGCCGTCCCGCCTTCCTTTGTAAGCCTAGAGCTAACGATGTGGCAGTCCCCGTCAACCTCAAGGACCGCGACGCTTTCCACCTCACCATCGAGGAGTACCTCCTCGCCCTGGTGGACCTGACGCAGGAGCTCTCCCGTCTCGCCACCAACGCCGTGACTCTCAGCGACTTTGCCATGCCCGTCGAGATCAGCAGCTTCGTCAAGGACCTCTTCGCGGGGTTCCAGCTGCTCAACCTCAAGAACGACATCCTCCGTAAGCGCGTCGACGCGGTCAAGTACGACGTCAAGCGTGTTGAAGACGTCGTCTATGACCTGTCCCTTCGCAACCTGATTCCACAGAAGCAGAAGGAGGTTGCCGCCGACGCGTCGACTTCCGCCCCGAAGGCGTGAATGGGACCAGGTGTACATTCGCCTTCGAGAAGGCTCATTGTCTAGTGTCCATGTCGATTACACTTAACCCTGTTCGACTGAAGTACGAAACTCCGTGTTTGAGGACTTTGTGTCTCGGGAAAGACTTTCAAAAGCGCTTGTTACAAATGTATTGATGCCCGAAGGACTTTGGCCATGTGCCTCATTGTCCTTTTCGGTCCTGGGGCTCTACTGGGCCGCATTTTGCTGTAGCTTAAAAGAAAGGGTTTGAGGCAACTGCTGTCTTTCTTGTTGCGTTTCATGGCTGCCTGAGATGGATTCATCTAGGTCGTAGTCTTACTGTCAATAACGCCAGCTGTGACGAAAATCCAGCAAGCCCTACATACACTTTGGACTGCATTATAAAAACCGCTGCACTGAGCTCTACCACAGAAATGTGAGGGCGAAGGCAAACAAGAAAGGCAGCTGTCATGTTGAGTCCAATTTGATGTCGGATAGAAGATGGACACACTTTTTGCTGTCTGCGCACAGACAATAGACTATATATAACTCACTACTTCAAATCCCCTCAACCAGCTATCACTGGATGAAAACATCCACAATTCCCCGATAGTCTAGTGGTGAGGATATCTGCTTGTCACTGCAATAGCAGCAATTCGCAGGGGACCGGGGTTCAATTCCCCGTCGAGGAGATTCTTTTGCCTTTTGCACCTCTTATTTCTTTGTACCCAGTTTCAATCCATGGCTTTGAAGTAGATTCTTTCTCCTTCCTTTTCCTTTCTATTTCCCTTCTTTTTATAGCGCATCATACCGGTTAAGGTAGAGAGGTGCCTACCCCTCCCCTCTTAGTTCTCGCGGCCCTTTAGCCCACGGAAATTTTGGGATCGGTGGGAGCGCAGCAGGGCCAAGGTCTTGCACATTTGCAGTCGAAAAACCATTCAGATGTTAATGTTTTTATCGTTGCTCTACAAATGATCAGGTCTACCTGCTCCAGTCAATGTCTACATCGCACGCTATGCTTCAAAATCAAATCTACCTGCCCCGTCCCTTTATGGCACTATCAAGAGTAGTATAGAACATTGCCCTCGAAGAGCCGTCGGGCAGTCCTGGTGACGATGCATCGGTCTACTGCTACACCATCTTCACCCTCGCGTGTCATTACTTCCACATCCATGATCCCGCTTCCATGCTTGATCCGAACGGTCCGGCCTAGGCCGTGATCGTCGGCAGGCGGCGGCGTTCTTCTCGGCGTCGGTAGGCCCTCCGTTTGTGGAGCCGACTCGCTGCCGCCCGCGATGCGATGCGCCACCGTTCCCTCCGATGTCACGGCGCTTGCGAGAGTAACGCCGCCCGTGAGTTGAAAACTGGGATGGGGCTTGCCCATGCTGTATGCTAGCACTTGAATATCCGCCGCCCCCTTGCCTGTCTGGCCATCGGATGGCCGCGAAAGGTATGCGAGCTTCGGCGTTCCCCTGACCATGCCCGCGGCCTCGACGGAGCTGGCAAGTCCCATTCGGACAGCGCCCCGCCTGCGAATGGCCTCGGCAACTTCAAGGGCCAGAGGAGAATCGGCCGGCTGCTCCCGAACCGGGCCGGGCAGACTGTCAGAATCAACGAAAACAAAGGGGTTCGCCGAGTCGATCAGTGTTACATCCACCACAAAATCCCCCGAAGCAAGCACCCCTTCCACAACAATCTTCTCAGACCGTTGCCCGCTCGGGAACAGCTTGCCTGTCATGCTCCCCACGGGGTCGACGAACGCAACCTTGATCTCACTGCCGGAGCCCTTTACGCCGGGAATGAGACAGTCGCCGTCTTCCTCCACGTTCCCGTCCTCGTCGACCTGGACGGTCTCGACAATTAGCTTGGAGGTGTTCGTGTTGAAGATCCTCACGTCCACCGACCGGGCGCCGGGCGGCGGCGTCACTAGCCGCTCTTGTACGGCAAAGGGACCGACGCCTGAGCACATGTTGCCGCAGTTGCCGCTCAGGTCGACGTTCTCGTTCCCGACGGCCACCTGGACGAAGGTGTATTCGACGTCGACGCCCGGCCGCTCGGACGGGGCGACGACGGCAACTTTTGAGGTAACGCTGCTGCCGCCGCCCACGCCGTCAATCTGGCGGACGTCGTTGTATCTTGATCCCATTGCTGCGAGGAGAGGCGTTGCCCACTCATCTTGAGATGGAGGTAGGTGGGACCGGTGGATGAAGAGGCCCTTGGACGTGCCGGCTCGCATCATAACCGCGGGAAGCGAGTGCCTCACACGGCGGTTCGATGAAGATGGTGTTATGGCCATGATGGGGATGAGGAATGGCGGTACCCTGTTGTGTAAGCGTTGGTGAAGAAACCGGCGAGAGACGATGGGTGTGTTGAAGACTTTGGTGTTGAAGTGCATTGGTTAATGCTCATACGAGAGGGCATGTAAACATTCATGCCCTGGTGGATATATACTAGTGCTCCTATCAGACGCTGATCGATCTGCAATGGGACCTTGGTAACGATAATGGAATTCTCCAGTGCCGTCTTATGTCCGTTCATAACATTGGCTTCCGTCTCTTTAGAAGTGTGATGCGTGGTGTAAATATTGTCGCAGTATCGGGGACGATGCATCCGCGGGAGTGAGGCCGTCCCGCGGGATCAGACGCTGCTCCACCTCAGTCGAGCAACGGTTTTTACAGATCGGCTTTTCGATCAGGGAAACCCCCCTGCATCGAACAAGTCCTCCGGGTCGTTTAAATCCGATCGCAGAGGTCTCAAGAGAATACGCTGTCGAGTGCGGAGCCGTTGAAGCCGAAGAGAAGGTCGTCGAAGGAAGCGGCACCGCCATCTCCGTCTGGCATCCCCTGAAACCAAGTCTGTTGGCCCATCAAGCTGGAAGAATCAAAGTGCGCGGGCTGCAGCCCCGATCCTGTCGTCAACGGCTGATTATGGAGCTCTGCCTGTCCCATGTCTATTGCGACAGCGTTGTTGTCTTGCCCTCGCACAAAGCTCTGGATAATCCCGTCGATATCTGACCAGCCCATAGGGGGCGATGTGTTTTCTAGCACAACCTGTGGAGGATGTAACTCATTGGCTCTTGGTAGGCTTTCGTGGTTTTCGGTCTCCCTTCGAGCTTCAGGCACGCTAGAGCCAGTTTCGTCCATGTTGGGATACGCATTGCTTCTGGTTCTCTCGCCGGCGTCAACACAGGAGAGGCTCACACCCAGTCGCGTCATCAAGCCTTCCACGATATTTTTTGCCCTCCTAACTGCCCAGTTCGTCTCTTGGTTTTCACGGAACACGGACAGACAGGTTTCTAGGCGTTCACGGGCCTCTGATTCTGTGCTCCGCTTCGCGGCGATTCGTACATGGATCGTTGCGGCGACGTACGTGGCATAGGATATCAGGTAAGGTGCGTGCCGCACGGAGAACACTTTGTCGTATGCTCGGAGAATCCCGACTATGCTGTTTGCTGATGTTGCACAGGTGATGAAGGAGTTGACAGATATCGAGCGAGAAGTGTTGTACAGATGGCCATCAGCGACAAACGGACGGTGGAGAAGGATGGTGAGAACATGGTACATGGCGCTGGAACAAAGTTAGATCTTAGTATATCACCATATTGATGATCCAGCTACCCTGGTACTTACTGCAAGCTTAGGACATGTGGAGGGGGGACTCTGCCGCTATCCTTCGGGTCGAAGACAAGATGTACAGGTAACGTGTCCTTCCAAGCAGCCAATTTAGAGCTGAGATTCTCAAGCATGATGGAAAGCTCTGCTGCACTCTTGTCGAATGCTCGTTCCGTGTAAATGCAGCTTAGGATGTCGCTCATAACGACTGACAGACGGCAGAGACACGTGAATGTCGACACGCTGTATGCGGGTGAGCCAGGGTAGCAAGTAGCATCGGTGGAGTACGCAAAGGGTTTCCAATTTTCAAACTCCTCAAATGTGTCGAGAAACTTGATAGGAACCAGCGTATCGGATTCTTTCAGTGAAGCTGGGCGCCCTTGGTAGAGACTCTGGATCTTGTCGACGACTATCAATGGTTAGCAACCTTATCAAGCGTTCAAGCAGGGGTTTCGTTTCGAACCAAAAGCACCCCAAAAGACCCGCCGCCTTATTTCTAGATCCTCGTCGGAGAACTTCCGCGTGATACCAAGGCCCGGTGCATCAACGTGCATGCCCAGGTCAATCATCATACGAAACGCCAGACCTGCGTACAGCCATGCAGCACTCCTCTCGTCACCCAACGCAAACAGCGAATTGGTCATCACCAGCAAGGCTTGAATGGTTGTGATATCACTTTTGTCAAGCGCATCACCGAGCAGCTTTCGGACACGCTCACGGAATGCCCATCCAGCGGTGCGTACGTCGTTGGGTTCTTTCCGGACCTCACGACGAGGACTGAACTTGGAGGCGCCAAAGTAAATGGCGTTAAGCAGTATCTTTGAATAGTAGGGCCCATTGCAGGCCATGTCTCGCATGAATGCGGGCCTGTATGTGAGCAGAAACGAGTGATGCTGGCGATTCCAGTGGAGTGACAGGAGGTGCATGCCAAGTTCTGGGTCCACACCATCGAAGTCGAGCGTTCCCGCTCTAAAATTGAATTCCTCAAGCTGGCCTGCTGTTTGTCAGTACAGGTATCGTAGTAGCAGTATTAGACCTGACAGGAGCCGGCCCCCAATGAACAGAGTTGGCCTACGTTGTCTGGCCGCTTCGGCAACCAGTCCCTTCTCTATCCAATCATCTGACATCCGTGGACGCAAGTCGATGGCCGCCGATCGCTCCTGCAGACTCTCTTCGAAGAGAGCACTCGTACGGCCATGATAACTCGAAACTCCATTTGCGGATACCACGATGCGGGAAACCCCCGTTCGGTGGTCGGGGTCGGGTTCTGCTAAACTTGCGTGTCGCGTGGCGGTGGTGGTATGAGGGGTTGAGCGGGTCGCGGGATCATGGCTTCCAGGGGTGTGGGGCGTATTGCCGTCGTCATGTTCCGCGGGAGAGACAGTTGCTCCGCTGTCTTCCGGGACTCGTGACGGGGTGCCGAGTTCTGTTGTGTTACCCCTCCGAGTGCCTTGCCGCCGCCTTTCTGCACGACGTAAAGCTGGCGTGGCCTCTGCCGCCTTCTCGACAATGTTCGCCAGAGGCTCGTAGACACAGTCCTTACCGTAAGTCTTGCAATTGGCGCACGTCGGTTGCTCGTTGTTGCATTTTATCTGGCGCGCGATAGGTCAGCTCAGTCTGGTTGGCCAGCACAGCACAGCACAGCACAGCCCAAACAACGAACCTTGCGCCTCCGGCAGAAGGAACAGGCCTCGACGGCCCGCCTTCGAGGCCGCCCGGATGCAGTGACACTGTCTCCCGATCTTGATGCCATGAAAGAGGCAGGTGGGAGAATCTGGGCTGTCTCACTTTCAATCCGTGGATGTTCAGCGGGTAGGTAGACAAGGGAATCTTCACAAGCGGGAAGCTACAATGAAGTCTGTCCGCGGTTGAGCATGATGCTGGGTCGATGACGCACGCAGTTACCGAGCCGTGGGCACGGGAAGATCGCTGATTGGTCAATTCCATCATTACCTCCCAGCGTTCCCGCGGGTAATGAGTATTTGGAGTGGGGACTATTCGTCCTTCAAAAACCATTGCCAGAATAAACAGTGCAGGGTCTGTTACAGGGGCATACCGACAAGGGATATGTACACAATTTC